CCACCACACACACACACCACACACACCACACACACCCACACACACACACCACACACACTCACCCCCCACACCACCAGTAAGTGTTAAAGTGCACACACGCACACACACACACACCCCCCACCACACGCACACACGCACCACCAGTAAGTGTTAAAGTGCACACACCACACACACACCACACACACACACACACACACACACACACACACACACCACCAGCAAAGCTAATGGTGTGATTATAAAAGACAGTTTAAATGTACATTTCATTTCCTTTCTTCTCTTAACTGATTTAAAAAGCAATTGTATAAAATTTGTAACAATAAAAGTGTCAATCAAAAGGTGTGAGGTGCCACCAAAGCTCTCTTTTAAACCATAAAAAATAAAATTAATGATCTAAACTTTCAACTCTAAAAGTTACAAAAACCAATAAAACAAACACTCGGGAGGACACAGAGGAAACAATAAAGATAAAAGTAGGAAGCAAAAATAGAAAAGAACAGCAACGGAACAGGTAAGTAGATCCACGTGCTGTTTCTTATGTGTTTGGGGTGGAGGGGCACAAACAAGTAGTAACTGTTCACAAATCTAATCCATTTTAAAAGATAGAAAAAGAAAGGAAAAGTATAAAGAGGATATAACAATCAAAAAAGAATCACACAGGAGATAAAAATTATAAGAGATTATTATATACAACTCTATGCCAACGTATTTAAAATCTGTGCAAGAAAGGACAACTTTTCCAATAAAGTAAACCACTAAACACAGAAGAAACTAAAAGACCAATTAATGTACTACCTTCCCAAATGCTCTAAGCCCAGAATGTTCTGCAGATAAATTCTCTCAAACTTCCAAAGGCAGATAATTCCTAAGCTATGTAATTTATTCCAGAGCATGTACATGCATACCAAAATAACGGAAAGCATTCGGGGAGGCACCTGAATGCTAAAACCCTTCCAGGTGCAGGTTTCTCCCGCATCCGCATCCACGCGGCCTCCTGCACTACAGATTGGCTTTCTGCACGGGCTTTCCCCAGGCTGCTACATCCTTCAAGCGCACATTATCCAGTAGCCCCGGCCCTGCCCCTGTCCACAACGCTTACCAGATCCCGGGAGGACATTGACTACACCCTTGGGAATGCCGGCCTTCAGCGTCAGCTCTGCAAACTTCAAGGCCGTGAGCGGTGTCACCTGAGGGGGGCAGGAGAGAAGATCGGATAAGGAGGGCTTGGAAGTGGGCTCTACCTTCCCCCCAGAAGCCCCAGTACCGAGCAGGGAGGGGCAGCTGTGGACTGTGGCACCTGGAAGACCCAGGGAAGTCTGTTTGTGGTGAACCACAGGGGCACTGCCAATTTTGCCAGCTTCCCCTACAGCTCCGGGTGGGAACGGGGCCTGCTGACCTCACGTCCTGGCTTCGCCTCCTGACGGGGTTCCTGTCCCTCAGCCAGGCCTGTGCCCTTACCGCCAAGTGTTCATTTCTCTTCATTTACTTACCCCCAGCCCTCGAGGAGCAGAGTCATCAGGAGTACCCAGCCGGGCTGTGGTCTCAGAGGCTGCAGCCAACACTCTCCAGGCTGCACCTCTCCCTGCCCCTCAGGAAACCCAGCCTCCTCCCCTGGGAGCCGCCACTGTGACGGTGCAGAGGGGCCTTCCAGAGAGGTGGGTGGCCTTGCTGCACTGCCCACTGGACCCGGCTGTCCATGCTCCCGTGTGTAACCCTGATTACTGCCTCACTTCTGGAAATCAAAACAAAAGAGGCCGTGCCTGGGCCTTTGAGCCCCAACAGTGGTTTCTCTTCTAGCCTCTGAAAATTTCTGGCCCACGTAACTCACCTGGTTAAGGTTACCTCATGCCCCGCCCCCACTTTCCTGAGCGGCTGAATCTGTGGGGTGCTGCTCTGGGGGTCTCAGACCTTGTTGGGGGCTTCTGTGGGCACTGGGTGTACCCAGGGGCAAGTGAGGGCAACCCTCCTAGAGACAGTCACCTGGATCTGTCAGCAGCACCGCATGATAAAGAGGGAGGTTGGCTTCTCAAAAGGTTGTTGTGATGCTTAAATGAGCAAATTATGTAAATTTCTACATAATTTGTTATACAGGTTAAGTAATTTTGGATTTCAGATTTTGGAATATTTGCAGAATACATACTAGTTGAGCATCCCTAACCGAAAAATCCAAAATCCAAAATGCTCCAATGGGCATTTTCTTTGAGCATCATGTAGGTGTTCAAAAAGTTTCACATTTGGAGCATTTCAGATTTTGGACTTTTGGATTAGGGATGCGCGACCTGTGTGTTAAAATGCCTGAGGGTGCCTGACTCAGGGCGAATGCTGTAACTGTCAGCTATCATCACTGTTTTTATTGTGTTAAGGCCCTTGGGGCCAAATCACCCAAAGAAGCTGGAGAGTGAGTGGCCTCAGGCACCCGTTCCTGCCATGTGGCGGGCATCTCCCTCCTGACACCCTGGGATGCTCATGGCGGGGAGATGTCCTCACCCCTGGAGGACCCTCCGAGCCTGTCTCAGTGAACCCTGACATTTACCTCCCCACCACCCCAGATGCCACAGCAGGCAGCTTCTCTGTGAGGGGCAGGGAGGGGGCCACTATCCCACCACTCGCCCCGCTTCCCTCAGGACTGCTGGTCTCTGAAGCCAAGCAGGAGAGCATGCGCCAGCCTTATTAACAGGCTACTCGGGCAGTCTTAGGGCGTGGGGCCTGGGCAAGGGACACAGTAGGGTTTCTGCTCTGTGAATCCAGAGTGCCAGCATCTGAGCAGAAATCCCAGTCTCTGCTCACCCAAGCAGCTCCAGCACCAGCGCAGCCAGCTGCTCTCAACCACCCCATGGCCAAAACCCCACAAAGTCTGCTTTGCACAGCTCTGACCCCTCGTGCATGCCTCTGCCTGCTGTGCATGGGGCCGTGCAAGGCCGGCTCACAGCAGCAGTGCCCTTCTCCAGAACTGGAGTGGCCAAAGGGTCCCTCTCGGGTCCCTTATGAAGCATGTTCCTGACTCCCTCCACCGCCTGCAGGCCCTGTGCAGAGAAGGCCACACTCACCTGGGCAGGCTTGATCACCACTGTGTTCCCAGCAGCCAGGCAGGCTGCTGTTTTCCAGGACAGCATCATCAGGGGATAGTTCCAGGGGATGATAATGCCACAGACCCTGCCATACAAGAGAAGCTGGGTTTCGTCCCTCTTCTCAGCTTGGGTGCCCAGAGTTGACCTGCCAACTCCCCCTCCTCCCCAGTATTAGGCCTCATGGCTAGTTTAACACCAGCACAGCCAGGTTAAGCTCCTTTCCCCCTTCTTCCCCTTCCTTTTCCTTTTTCTGCTCCAGGAACTGAGATTCCTCCCCTGGGCAAGGGTAAACATTACTGTTACATCAGGAGAACGTCTTGTGGGCTGCGTCTAGCAGGCTTCCGGCTGGAATGCTTTGTACTGAGATAGTGGCTAATCAAGAGCCTATGACTTAACCTACCTGATGTCATCGGACCACAAGGGCTGTGTCACCTTGCATACCGCTGATTTCAAAATTGCCCATTACTCTGAACCCTCCCTAAAAGTCTTATAAACCCTGTGCTTTCCTTAGTTTGCGGGAACTGATCTGGTTCAGTCTCCCCTCCACATTAGTGGAATAAACCTTTCGGCAGAAGAGGCTCCTGACTTGGGTCTCTCTCTCTTTTCTCCATCTCACCAAACCTAATACCCAGCGCCTGGCATCCACTCCTGACAAGGCACCAAAGTTTCTGCCGACAGACAGCTCATGCCTGCCTCTTCTGTCCTGGACGCTGGAGTATGAATTAGTCTGGCAGCAGCCCCTCCTCCTAGCAGGACACAATGTCAGGGGCACTGGGTTGTTTCTGGTGGGAGCTGTGAGAACACAGGGACACAGGGAACAGGGGAGGGTGACAGCCGGCAGGCACAGGAGGGCCTGGAGAGGGTCAGGGTTCACAGGGTGGTCAGGGAGGACCTGGAGAGGGTCAGGGGTAACAGCATGGTCAGGGAGGGCCTGCAGAGGGTCAGGGGTCACAGGGCAGGCCAGGAAGGCCTGGAGAAGGTCAGGGGCTACAAGGAGGGCTGGGAGGCCTGGAAGAGGGTCTTCCTGAGCGTGAGGCCAGAGGTGAGCACCGTGAGAAGAGAAGACAGAGTGAGCGGAGAGGCCTGTGAGGTTTGTCCACTCTACATGAAGAGATGGTGCCAGTGTGGGCATCCCGGGTCCCAGAGAGTGCCTCTGGCCAGCATGTGGCCATCGGGGAGGGCCAGCACGGTCCCGGGGACAAACAGGCACACTGGCCAGGTCTGAGCGCTGTGTGGCCCACCTTCCCTGATCCCTGTAGCACGGGTGCTGGAGCAGCCCCTCTGTGTGAGCGCTGGACAATCAGATGAGATAATCCACAGACTGTGATTGTGTCGTCACCACCACCACTGGAGAATGCTGCCCAAAAGATGCCTCCTTGCTGGGCCCAGGCAGTGGGAAGAGCGTTGCAGAGGCCAGCGGGCCGGCGACAGTGTGAAGAATCGTGAGGGGTGCGTGGGCCAGGGTGGGCCACACCACGCACCCTGCAGGGCGTGGCAGCTGGGGACTACACACGGCCCTGAGGGCAGCCACCCCCTACCCCGCAAACCCTGCAGACCCAGAGGGTCGAGACGGGTGCAGAGAGCAGAGTGGGGGCCTGTGGAGAGTTCCCAGGGAAGTCGGGTGAGGCCAGCGGTGACAGTGAAGGGTGGGCTTGTGGGGGCTCTGAAGAAGAAAACAGGTTTCTGACCTGTTGCACTGTTATGGGTTGAATTGCATACCCCATCCCCCCAAATTCATAAGGTGAACCTAAGAACGTGGCCTTGTTTGGAAAGGAGGTCGTTGCAGGTGTACTTAGTCAGGATAAGGTCACAATGGAGCAGGGCGAGCCCTCATCCAACACGACCGTGTCCTGACAAAAGGAATGTCATGTGAGGAGACAGGCTCACAGGAGAACCCACGTGGGCATGAAGGCAGAGATGGCGTGAGGCATCCGCAGCCCAGAAACACCAAAGACCGCAGCAGACCACCAGAAACCTGGAGAAGGGTCTGGAACAGGTTCTCCCTCACAGCCCGCAGGAGAGGCCAGCCCTGATGACACTGGATCTTGGACTTCCAGTTCCAGAACCGTGAGACCATAGATTTCCGTTGCTTAAGGCGCCCCCATCTGTGGTACTTTGCTAGGGCAGCCTGAGCAGACTCACACACCCGCTGGCCATCTGCAAGTGGCCTCGCTGTGGGACGTGGCTGGGTGAACACATGAATGCCAAGCTGCCATGCAACCAACCTTTCATCAGCCCCGTGGCCTTGTCTACTCTTGGTGGCCTTTCTTGTGGAAGACCTCATGGCTCTGGCTCACCCAGTGAGATGAGCCGCCCTCCCTCCCTGGAGCCACCACCCTGCTGGGGACCACAAGCCGTCCCTCCACCTCTCTCGGCACAGGCTCTGGGGAGGCATGTCTGGGCCTAGGGGTGCAGCTCCCTTCTCTCACTGAAGAGCCCCTGGCTCTGGGGGTGCTGGGCCAGTGTGCAGCCAGGGGTGGGGGAGGTGAGGGCCTCTAAGAGGCAGCTGCGGCCTCACTGCTGTGAGCCTGGCACTGGCAACCGGCGAAGATGGGCACATTCTGCAAGTCTTCAGGGAAGACTCTGCACGTGCCAGGACCCAGACAGGCATGGGGACAGGGCAGCGTCAGCTCAGACATGGGTCACACAGAGAACACCAGCGCAAGCCCAGCATAGCCAAGCATGGAGAATCAGGGAGGGGCCCGGGCATCCGGCCCCAATCGCGTGGCCAGGTCAGGTCACTGGGAAGCCACCAGAGGGCAGTGAGTGGAGCAGTGCAATGGTCTCATAGGAACATCAGAAAGGGCTGGCCTCTGCTTGCTCTCAGCTCCAGAGAGGAACCCCAGCCCACAGCTTAGGAGGCCAGGCTTACAGGGCTCTTCAGCTGGCCCTCTGATCTTCTGTAGCATTTACTGCTCTAGACATCGAATGCATGCTCATCAAGACAACTCATTGAGGATGGTGCTATTTCATTCCTACTTTAGAGATGAAGAAACTGAGTACAGAGAGAAGGAACTTGCTCAAGGTAAGGGGAGGAGCTGGGATCCCAGCCTTGGGGTCACGCTCCAGAACATTCCCACTGAAGTGGAGGTCACCTGCAAAGCTGAGGTGAAGCCATGCACTGGCAGCCACACTGCGGGCAGCAGGCAGCGGGCAGAGACCTCTGGTGCCAGCATCTCAGCCTCCCGGTGCATGATCAAGAGTGGCCCTGCTGCCCTGCCTCTGGGTGAGCACGGTTTGTAGGATGTGTTTACAGTGGGATGCTGAATGGGTGCCAGAGGCCCAGGCTCAAGGCCAGCCTCGCAGGGTGACCAGGATGGATCTGGGTGACATAGTGTCAGTATCCTTCTCAGTCTGACGGGGACAGAAGCCCCCTGCAGGCAGGTGGGGGCTCAGTGGCCTTGCAGACTCAGGTGTGGCTCTGGCTGGTGGTCCCAGATGAACCATGGCCCCGGCCCCTCTCACAGCCGCTCACAGGGGTGGGGGTCTGTAGTCACCAGCACCTGCAACAGGTTTCTCAGCCTCCACGCTACTGACACCTTGGGCTGGGGCTTTCCTGTGGGGAGCTGTCCTGTAGCACCCCTCCCTGTTGTGACAACCAAATATGACTCCACACATAGCTCGAGGTCCCCTGCGGAGAAGCTGCGCTCAGGTGGGCCCTACCCTAGAGTCAAGGCCCTGCCCCACCCCGAGACTCACTCTTCCCTCGGGCTGAGGATGGAGGTTCTCCTGTGCCCGCCGCTGCTCTCCAGACAGGAGCCTCCTTCAGCCCGCCCTTGAGGACCTGGTTTGTCCACCTGCACTATTTTTTAATGACACAGGTGACATTTGAGCTCATTCTCCTTACAGAGCACCCCAGTGTTCCCAAGGAAGCTGAGGACTTCGGCCCTCTGGTGGGAGGTGGAGCCCTCGCCGCTGGTTTTATCTTCCATTTCTCCAGCCCTGTCTGGGGCCATCTGGCTGCGTTTGTGCTTCTCCTGCTGAGCTCCTGTTCCCATCCGTTGTCTGCTTCTCCTCTGCTGTGTTCTGTTTTTTCTGTTCCTTGGTGTCGCACAGGAGAACCTCATTTTTTACACACACTGACCATCATACTCTTTTCCAACAAAATATTTTTGGGCTGTACCCTTTGTTTCCTACCATGTCCCTGACCTGCACGGGGTTATCATGGAGATTAAATAAGTGATAAACTTATAACAGCAGTGTCTGCACAGAGCAGGCACTTTAGACGTGAACGGAATAGCTGTTCGATGACTATGTGTGAAGAATGGGCTGTTGCGAGCTCCCTGCAAGCTGTCGTGGGGGTCACGCAGCTCACAGAGTGGAAAGCACCAACCTGCAGCTGCACCTCACGCTGGGCAGCGACTCACCCGACAGGCTCCTTCCTGGTCAAGCTCAGGTTGCGGTTGGGTCTGGCCTGGTTGATGGGGATGGTGGAGCCCTGGAGAAAGCACAGAGCCATCACTGGGCGTGGGGTGGGGGGTCCAGGCTGCCCCTGGAGCTCCACGCAGCTGCTCCGGCCCAGGAGGCTCCAGCTGGAGGTGATGAAGCAGCAGAACAGGGGTGGGGGACACGAGGTGGCCCACCTCCCTCGTCACCGTCGTGCCTCAGCCCCCAGTGGGGTGGAGAGGAGCCCCAGAGCCCAGATTCAGTCTCTGGAATGGGTTTCCCTGGGGAACCTCCAGAAATGCCCCCAGGGTTCCATGTGTGATCCCTGGGATCTGGGAATACAGTGAACTCTCCTTCCTGGGATGACGTCATGTGGCATAGTTGACCTTAGGATGGTGTGGGTGGGCCTCGGATAACCACAGGAGCTCCCGGAAAAGCAGACAATTCTCTCCAGTTAGTGGCAGAAGAGTCAAAGGGATTCCAAGCTTGGGAGCAACCTGCCATCGCTGGGAGATGCAGGGCTGTGGCAAGGACCAGAGACGCCTGCGGGGGCTGGAGGCAGCCCCGGCCTGCAGCCAGGAAGGACCTGGGCCCTCAGTCCTGCAACTGCACAGAACTGAACTCTGCCAGCATCCGAATGGGCCTGGAAGTGGGCTCTCCCCAGATCCTCCAGATGAGGCCCAGCCCGGCCAGCACCTGGACTTCGCCAGTGAGACCCTGGCTTAGAACCCAGACAAGCCCACTCAGAATTCCCCCCTGCAGGACTGCAAGCTCATAAATGGGTGCCGTCTTGAGTCACTCAGTTGTGCAGTTCGTTAGGCAGCATGCAAAGAAACAGGCTGCGTGAGAGCTCACGCAGCAGGCAGGAGCCCGGGCCCACCTGGATCTTGTCGCACCAGCCAGCAAAGTAGCGGAAGGTCTGGATCGACATGCCCACGTGGGTCTTCAGGGCCAGCGTGTAGACGGCACCGGCATCCAGGGCCTCGATGGTGGCCAGCTCCTCCTGGTGCTGCTCCATGAGGTCTGCCAGCCTGGCCAAGGGACAAGGGGGAGGGGGAGACGGGCTCAGCCTGGCACAGCCTCGCGGGCTCTCTCAAGGCCCTTCTTCAAGGAGTCAGGCCCCGCCCTCCACTAGGTGTGCCGACCTCAGTTTCCTCACCTGTAAGATTGGATGATACCCTCCATGCCTTGCTCTTTTCCTCTCTTTCCCTTCCTTCCTTCCTGAAATATTTATGGATTGACTACTTTGTAAAGTCCCTCAGAAATGACCCTGCAGGGGCCGGCCTGGTGGCGCACT